GGAATGGGCCGGTGGAGTTGTGAGCCGTGTTCCCTCCAGCTTCCCAAATTCAGAAAAATCAGGTGCGTTTTTCAGAAACTGAAGTGTATTCAATATAAAAGATTGTCCCTTATGCCAGTAATATCTCTCTCCTGTGCTTTGGTTGACAAATGTCTTCTCTTTTATGAAATGATGGTGATAGTAGATGGTAGTTGAATTTTGAAAAATTGCTCAGATTGCACATTTTAAAAAGGTGTTACCAGTCCTTGAAATCCAAAAGCTTAGGACCCGCAGGTCCAGCCCAGCCTCCCGCCCACTGTGGATGGTCTTTCCCTTCCTAACAGGTGGTCATCTGACTTCTACTCCGATGATTCCGTGGAAGGGGTGCCTCATAGACTCACAAGACAGTCATTCTGGTTTGGGAGAGCCTTCGTTTTTTTTGAAATAAGATAAAGTTGAAATATGCCATCCTGGGACTTCCTGGTGGTCCAGTGGCTAAGACACTGCACTCCAGATGCAAGGGGCCTGGGTTCTGTCCCTGGTCAGGGAGCTAGATCTCACAAGCTGCAACCAAAGCTGCATGATGCAAGGGAGATCGAGGATCTAGTGTTCTGCAGCTAGGACTTGGTGAAGCCAAATAAATAAATAGATATTAAAAGAAATCTGCCATCCTGTGACTTTTGCCCATGATCCTGACTCCTTCCATCTGGAGTGAACAAAATGCGTTTACTCTCTGGATTTCTGATGTGTTCTAACTTGTTTTCCAGGGTTCTCACCCCACTTTCTTCTCCCAGGGCTTCATTCTCACCCTTCACCTTCTTTAGGTCACCTGCCAGAGGTCCCTCAAGGGTCCGTCTCCCAGAGGGACATTGGCCCAGCTGTGGGCTGATTTGGGCTGATTCCTGCCTGCTGGACCCTGAGAGCAGATTAAGGAGGAAAAGGTCGCTTTTGCTTTTGGCAGCTGCGCTGACTGCTGACTCACAGTGAGTTACAGTCTGCTCGACCCCGAGGGTCTCTGCCATCTAAATCCCTGATAAGCCGGGGTTCCGCTGGCCTTCTGTTTGGGCAGTGACGTCTTTTCATGTAAGTGCAGGACTCTGTGTGCGTGCCTATTATATTTCATCTTGTCAGTTTGGACAGGTCTGCAAAGAAGTTTGCGTGGTTTCAGCGGATTCAGCTCACTCGACTCTTGGTTCAACCTTCCAGCTTACCAGCCGTTCCTCCCAGATTTGTGTCAGCAGCACAACTGACAAATCTGTCTTCATCCAAATTTTTAATTCAGCATTTAAAAAGCAAGAGCCAAGGACAGAGCTTTGGGTCCCATCAGAGGAGACTTTCCAAGCTTAAACCCATCTGTGAATCTGTGCTCCAGACAGCTGTGCACAGAGGCAGTGTGTCTGTGTGTCAGCCAACTGCAGACCCTGTGCCGGGGTGCATGTCCACACTGGGGGTGCGAGCTCTGTTCCCAGCATTGGCAAGATTACAACGTTCACATTTACCTTTTCAGCCCGCATGTCTGTCTCAAGTTCATGTTTTTAATTTGCTGCTGCTCAAGCCTAGAATGGTTCAAGCTCCTCCACATCAGATCATTGTCTGTCTGCCTCCAAAAGCCTTTCTTCCTTTCCATGGTCACTGCTTCGGGGACGGTGCCACCATGGTGGTTAAGCCAGCTGCAGTGTTCCCTTCACACTGCATTTCAGTGTGAAGCCATTTCAGTCTCCTGGTCCTGGAGCTTCTCCTCCCTCAGTATTTCGTCGTCCACCCTTGGTCTCTGGTCTGTCTTGCCTTGGTGACTGTAAGAGCTTGTCCATCCTGGAAGAGCTGCTCTGTCCTGTCTTACCCCTCCTGGTGTATCCTGTCTTACCCCTCCTGGTTTATCCTTTAGCAGCAGTCCCCAAACATTCTGACACCAGGGACTGGTTTCATGGAAGACAGTTTTACACAGGCGGGGGAATGATTTTGGGGTGATTCAAGAGAATTACATTTATGGTGCACTTTATTTCTATTATTCTTGCATCAGCTTCACCTCAGATCATCAGGCATTACATCCTGGAGGCTGGGGACCCATGCTTTACTGCGTTGCCAGGAAGCAGAAGCAGACTGTTTATGTCCTTATGCTGCTTCAAACCCCGTTGAAGGTGCTAGGCTTTCACCGTTGGCCTTCACTCATCCTGTAAGCTGGATCACTTCCTGCTCCCTCGGGCAGCCTCACCCGTCACACGTACCACCTGCTGCTGGTTCCCGGATACAGCATGTTCATTTGGGTCTTGCACACGTTCTTCCTTTCACAGTTTATAGTCACCGACTTCTCCTCCTTCAGAACTCAGGTCAAGCTTCCCTCCTTTGGGGCTCCCCTGCTGACCGCTCCAGCCAGGGTCAGGGGTCCCTCTTCTGGGCAGCAGTCGCACTCGGGCAGACTCATGAGATACTGGGTTGTGTGGTTTAATAGCTGTTGTCTGCCTCCCCCACCCTTACTCAGAGAACTCAGCGACTGAATTCTCTTGACTGTCATAGCTGCAGCCATCGCAGGGCCTGGCGACATGTGCTGATAGTTTGCTGAGCACATGGGGGAGTGGGTGGCCTGGCGCATCATGACCCGTGACTGGTAATTTCCCTGCCTGTCGGTCCTCCGAGATTCTGTGTCTGTGGCTTCTCCTTGGTTCGCGGGCCTTGTCATCTTATTTAAAAAAAGCAAAAGAAGTGCTTTGACATCGATCAGGTTTTGCTCCAAATCATCTGATTTCTCATCCCCTCTTGGCAAGTTCAACCCCATTTTTACTGTCTGGAAGCTGGTTCTTCCCCTGCCCCCCACAAGTCCCTGGTTGGGCACAGGGTATACTTTTTGGCGATGTCACCATGCAGGCACTCCTTGCCAGGTGGCTTCCCACAAGGGGCTTCAACCACCCAGGCCCCTCTGATCCTGTGCTCAGTCTGCGATCAGGCCGTCAGAATGCTCTCCATCCGGCTGATACGGGGGTGGAGAGGGCTGCAGACGGGGAGCGGGGCTCGTGTGTGGGAGGCTCTCCCAGCTGGGACTGGCTGCAGCGCAGTCCCTGCTGTTCACGCTTCATTGGCCAGAACTTAGTCTCCAGGCCACCATGTCCAACTGCCAGAGAGGCTGGCCACTGTGGGCTCGCTGTGGCCCAGGAGGAAAGGGACACAGACAGTGGGGCATTAACACTTCCTGCCACACCCTCACTCAGTCTCGGCTGTTGTCCCCGTGTGTCCCCGGCTGCACCCTGGAGCCCTGCTGGCCCCAGTGGTTCTTTCTGTGCTCAGAGCACGCTGGCTCTCCCACCACCGGGTCTGGGCTTTGCGCCTTGCTCTCTGCCTTCCCGTTCTCCGAACCCCAGTCCTCTCTGCTGGCTGGTTTGGCTGGACTTGCCTCCCCATCTCTCCAGTCTCCTAGCAACCCTCCTTGCCCTGCTCACGTGTCTGGGCCTGGACCATCTGATCCTTGGCAGCTGCCGGCCCTCACCATGTGTGTGCCTGGATGGGAGCCTGTCTGAGTCCAAGTCCCAACAGGACAGAGAGAGTCCTTTCAAATGTCTCATGCTCTGAAGTCCTTCCTGGGATGCTGGCTATGGATTGAGACTATTTTTAGAGACAATTAGACAGTGTGAAGACTAGCAATGAGAGTCGTAAAAGAAGATAGTGGAAAACATGGCTTTGGGAAACCGAAGGAACTGGCTGTGTGTCTTGGAGAAGACAATCCTGAAGGGTAGAGCCCGTGTTTAAATATATGTACAACATTGGTTTAAAAATTGCTTTAAAGGGGATGGCGTTACAGTAGACGTTCTTCTGTTACTCTGAAAAAGAAGAAAATGTCTCACATTTTAGTGAGGGATGTTTGGGTAAGAGGCGAAGAAAGAATTAATGAATTCCAGAATGCTGGGATCTGGAGATAGGGGCCAGAGAAGGCAGAGCCCGTCTCTTAGATGTGACCTGCTGGTGCCCGAGGTAGACGGGTAGCTCAGAGTCTTCCCTTGCTCTGTGGTTCTTAACAAAAGAATCTGGTGCTGTGCTTTCAGTTCATACCTGTTCTGAGAGATGCTCATAGGAAAAGTATTTGTCTGTGGGTGATATTTCCCAACCATTTCGTAAGCAGGAAGGGCTATTGTCTTCTCGATTCAAGAGCTGAGATGCCTGAATTCCATGACCTATTTTGTCATCCACTCGATCTTGGATGGTCTTGTCCATTAAGTGGGGATGGATTTGCAGGAGGTGTGGCTGAGCTTGGAAAGGAAGGAAGTTTTGTCACAGGCTACAACAGGGATGAACTTAAAGGGTTACACTGAGTGAAATATGCCAGGCAGGAAAAGACGACTACTGTCTGACTCCACTTGAGTGAGGTCCCTAGGGCAGTCCGGTTCGTATGGCCCAGGATGTTTGTCTTAGTGTATCCTAAAGCAAGTGAGAAACATGAATGAATTCTCAACCACACCTGCAAATCCATGTGGGATCTTCTCAGGCCAGGGATTGATCCCGTGCCCCCTGCATTGGCAGGTGGATTCTTACCTACTCTGCCACCAGGGAAGTCCAGAATCAGTTTCTTTGCCTTTTCCAACTGTCAGAGGTACCATCCTCCATCTGCTGGGCTGGCGTGCACCCTTCCTGTAGATACTGTACACCTCCATGATGCACACTCGGGACACACATGTTTGCATGTGCTTGTATGCGTGTGCATGTGCCCAGTCATGGGAGGAACTTCCTGTCCCAACCCCACATCCCAGGCAGGCATCCCTCCCTCTCCCGGTCATGACCTGTTTCCATACTTGCTTGATCCCCCATGACTTGGGGTCAGTGGGTGGGGCTTCATAGTTCCTTGGCTCAACCAGGAGGTTGGACAGGGCACTGGTCATCCTGAGTGGGAGCCCCAAGCCCACAGTTTTATAAGGAGAACTGCCTTTCATCTCTATGTTCAGCATAGTGTCTCAGATGCCAGCGGCCAGGGTAACACCCATCACACAGCTTTGTGTGGTCCAGCCTGTTTTCTAAGGAGAGGATGCTCTTCTTGGTGAGATGCTGAGTGAGGAGAGCAGAGCCAAGCAGGTGACCCTGGACCCCGTCCCCTCCTGGATGTGTGTGGAGACAGGTACTTACAATCCAGGACCCAGGTCCACTCTGCCCCTGTCAGCCAGCTGTCATATCCCCATTTCACAGATGGGAAAAGCCAAATGTTGGGAGGTTCCCACTGAGTCAGACATTTGAGGGCACTGTCGAGCTCCAGCACATCAGTTGGGCCAGAAAGAGCGGCCTGGTGAGGCAGCAGGTGCCCAAGGCTGGGCGCCATGGGGAGTGGGCACCATGCAACCCACTTCTGGAGCCACGGCAGACTCTTCCATTCATTCATCCACTGGGTCTGTGGTGCTTTTCAGATTTAAGTGTTTATTAGCAGTAAAAGGGGAAATTCAGGAGTGAGGGGGGACATCATCTGGAGAGTACGTTCACCAGCACATTCCAAATGATAAATCCTTCCACCACTAACACCTAAATTCTGGAATCAGGGAATGTAGAACCGTGTACAGGGCCTTAGAGGTCCTTTGGTCAACTTGACTGAAGCATAGAGCAGGGGTGAACTTGTCCAGAGTCACACAGTCCCTAGTTGGGAGCGGGGAGCAGATATGTGCCCAGGACCAGCACACCTCGTCCTGGTCTCCTTGACCTGGGGTGGAGGCGGGAGAGCTGAGGACTGCACCCTGCCTGGTGGCCCCCCTGCATTCCTGTGGGCCCGGAGCCAACTCATATGGACAAGGTCAACAGTGAAAGAACCCCAGTGAACAACCACAGCTTCGTATATGGCTATGCCTGCTAAGGGCTTGTAAAAGTTTTGGAAATCCTTGGAACAGCTCAGAGCTGCCCAGGCCTCAGACGTGTGGCTCCCCAGCCCGGGCTCTGGGGGCTCATGAGGAACATGGCTCCAGATGGGTGCCTCCACCACCAGACTTCCTCCTCGGCTCCCTTAGTCCCTCAGTTCCCTTGGGGTTTCTCCCTAGCGTCCAGGGTTTCCACACCCCTTTGTTCTCCCACGGTCTCCACGGACCAGCTCCAGATCTGAGTTGTCAAAAGGTTGTCACCCTCCTGATTGCCAGAGGGACTCAGTTGGAGGACAGTCACGTAGACGGGGCCAGAGCAGCAGACCTACAGAGTTCTACAGCATCTCTACAGCCCTGGTTTTTGCTCTGTGAATGTTGCTCCCTCCTGGGAAGAAACATGAAAGTGCTTTGACCTCTGCCTTCCCCTGCATTCTTGTACATGGACTTTCTCATGTTCCCCCCCACCACTACCACTTTTCCTCCTGGCCCAGACTGTGGGTGCACTGGAGGCCTGGGAAGGGTCTGGGAAGCACCAAGAATGACCCCCAGTCCCTGCACCCCACTAAGACCCACTGTCTCCTCTGTCCTCCTTGGAGAAAAGGATGAAGCAAGGATCCAGGAGGGCCCAGAGGCTCCTGGTCTTGAAGATGTTCAGGAAACCTGAGAAGGAAGAAGGGAAATAGCTGCTTGGGGCTCCAGAAGGACAGGAAGCAACACATGCAAGGGAGAAACACAGGAGGTTCTGAGGGAAGAGCTGGAACTTGAGATCCAGAGAAGCTGGATCAGTCGACTCCAGCCGGGGTCCCATGCAGCATTGTCATTGGCAATGGGAACTCTCAGGATGCAGAAGAGAAAGCAGATTCCCTCAGCAAACACATCTTTTTATACCTGCTATGTGGGGTGTGGGCTATGGAAAGAAGCCATTGCAGCCGCCTACGGATGCTTCTCCTGGGGATCCTCGAGTGCCTGGGGATGCTCCTCCTGGGGATGCTCCATCACCTGGGGATGCTTCATCACCTGAGGATACTCCTCTTGGGGATTCTTCATCATCTGGGGATGCTCCAGTGCCTGGGGATGCTTCATCACCTGGGGATGCTCCATCATCTGGGGATGCTCCAGTGCCTGGGGATACTCCATTGCTTGGGGGTGTCCCAGTGCCTGTAGATGCTCCTTTGCCTAAGGATGTTCCAGTGTCCAGAGATTCTCCACCTGGGGATGCTCCATCACCTATGGATGCTCCATTGCCTGGGGATGCTCCAGTGCCCAGGGATGCTTCAGAACCTAGGGATGCTCCAGTGCCTGTGGATGCTCCAGTGCCTAGGGATGTTCCAGTGTCCCAGGATTCTCCACTTGGGGATGCTCCATCACCTTGAGATGCTCCAGAACCTGGGCAGAGCCAGAGATAGTCTGGGATGGTCAGACCCTCAGGCCTGAGCTTTCTCTCCCACAGAGGGGGGGCCTGTCTGCACAGGTGTCTGAGTCTGGGGATGTTCTTCCAAGGTCTCTGAGTCCAACACTCATCCCTCTTTGGCTTTTAAAACAAAATTGAATTAAATAAAGCTTTTTATTTTTTAATATTATTAATATGTAAAATGGACACAACACAAGTTACCATTGTAACTTTGATAAAGTGTGTGATTCAGTGGCACCAAGTACATTCGCACTGTTGTCCTCTCAGCACCACTGTCGTCTCCAGAGCTCTGCCCGGCCCCTCCCCAGCCCCTGCTAACATACATGGTACTTTCTGTGTCTCTGAATTTGACTACTCTGAGTATCTCCTGTATAAAGCAGATTCCCTCAGCAAACACATCTTTTTATACCTGCTATGTGGGGTGTGGGCTATGGAAAGAAGCCATTGCAGCCGCCTACGGATGCTTCTCCTGGGGATCCTCGAGTGCCTGGGGATGCTCCTCCTGGGGATGCTCCATCACCTGGGGATGCTTCATCACCTGAGGATACTCCTCTTGGGGATTCTTCATCATCTGGGGATGCTCCAGTGCCTGGGGATGCTTCATCACCTGGGGATGCTCCATCATCTGGGGATGCTCCAGTGCCTGGGGATACTCCATTGCTTGGGGGTGTCCCAGTGCCTGTAGATGCTCCTTTGCCTAAGGATGTTCCAGTGTCCAGAGATTCTCCACCTGGGGATGCTCCATCACCTATGGATGCTCCATTGCCTGGGGATGCTCCAGTGCCCAGGGATGCTTCAGAACCTAGGGATGCTCCAGTGCCTGTGGATGCTCCAGTGCCTAGGGATGTTCCAGTGTCCCAGGATTCTCCACTTGGGGATGCTCCATCACCTTGAGATGCTCCAGAACCTGGGCAGAGCGAGAGATAGTCTGGGATGGTCAGACCCTCAGGCCTGAGCTTTCTCTCCCACAGAGGGGGGGCCTGTCTGCACAGGTGTCTGAGTCTGGGGATGTTCTTCCAAGGTCTCTGAGTCCAACACTCATCCCTCTTTGGCTTTTAAAACAAAATTGAATTAAATAAAGCTTTTTATTTTTTAATATTATTAATATGTAAAATGGACACAACACAAGTTACCATTGTAACTTTGATGAAGTGTGTGATTCAGTGGCACCAAGTACATTCGCACTGTTGTCCTCTCAGCACCACTGTCGTCTCCAGAGCTCTGCCCGGCCCCTCCCCAGCCCCTGCTAACATACATGGTACTTTCTGTGTCTCTGAATTTGACTACTCTGAGTATCTCCTGTAAGTGGAACCATGTGATATTTGTCTTTGTGACTCATCTCACTGTGCATTTTGTCCTCAAGTTTCATGTTGAAGCGTCTGACACACTGTGTCAGAATTTCTTTCCTTTTTAAGATTGAATGATGGTCCATTGTATGTATAACAGAGTGTTGATCCCTTCGTCTGTCCCGTGCATCTGTCGACAGACACTGGGGCTGTTCCCTACTTTTGGCTGTCCTGTATAACGCTGCTGTGAACATGGGTGTCCCCACTTTCTTCTTCTGTATAAATATCCAGAAGCAGAATTGCTGGCTCATATGGTGATTTCTATGTTTAATTTTTTGAGGAACCACCATGCTATTTTCCGTCACATTTGCACCATTTTACCTTGCTACCAACCTCACCCAAGCCTTCTGCTTTCTCCATGTCCTTGTCAGCGGTTACTTTCTGGTGTTCTGATGACATCATCCTAGTGGGTGTGAAGCACCCTTCTTGGCTTTGAGGGCTTCCAGGTAGACTGTGTTGAGACCCTGAAGTCCTGGGGAGACCGTGGGATGATAAGCTAGAAAGGAAATGAGGGCTGGAAGGCTGTCGTCTCTGCTGGCTTCTTGGCCGTGTGGGCCTGAGGCGAGGCTTGCCCAGGCTGGCTGGGGGCAGCCACTGAGCAAGGTTGAGCACCCCCTCCCAGGCCAGGGAGCAGAGGGGTGTGGGTGGTGGGCTGAACCCTCTCGGCCCTTGTCCTGAGGCCGCTGGGGAGGAGACCCAGGCAGCGAGGAACCTGATGGGAGTTGCTCCAGCCTGGGAGGGGTGAGGGGCTGGACCACAGGGTTCTGAGATGTGAATATCTGGGCTGGGAGGGACTCTTATGGTCACCGCTGAGCCTCCTTACTCTAAAGAAGGGGAAATTCAGAGCCACAGAGGGAAAGCGAACCTCCCGAGCACCCTGAAAAATTGGCTACAAAGCGGGGCCTGGGATTCAGGTCTGTTGGCTTCTGGCTTGGTTCTTCCCCCCAAAGTCAGGAGAGCATCACGGTGGCTTCATGTCTACTCGCAGCCTAGTGTTTACAGAGGGGCAGCGGCCTCAGGGCCACTTGCTCATTTTTCGTTGCTTTTCCACATCTTGTCTACCTGCTGTCTGGCAGAGGCTTCACAGGGATAAATGAGATAAACGGCATTGACTTTTCTAAATGAAAGAAGCGTCATGCTCCATGCAGAGTATGGCTGTGAGGGGCCTGTGAGCATAGAGGAGTCGGCTCCATGCTGCTTGTGTCCCACCTGGATGAGGAGTAACCATGTCTGGGGGAGGACAGGGAGCCGTGTGCACGTGTGTTTGCGTGTATTTGCATGTGTTGTATGTATGGTATGTGCATGGTGTGTACATGTGTACAGGGCCCCAGGTGTCCTGACCCGACTCTTTTCCCGGCCTGTGCCCATATCTGTTCAGACCTCATGGCACCCACCTGATATTACATGAAATTGGACAAGAACCTGATGCTGGTTTGGCCACAGCAATTTTTGGAAGTTTAACTTAACACAGTCAAACAAAATTGTAACTTTTTTTTCTCTTTGATTATCAAAGAATGATTTA